CCCCCCCCCCGCACCTGCCCCTCCACATCCCTCACCCGCACCCCAGATGTGTCTGCTTGGTAAGGTTTGAATTCCCATTTCACCTCCGTCCGGTAGCCACACTGGGGAGGCATGTGAAGAGCACTGGAATAGGAGTCCAGATCCCTAGGTGCAGAGGTGGCTCTCCCACCTTCTCTCTGGGACCCTGGGCAGGGCTTGTGAGCTCCCTGAGCTGCGGTTTCCTCATCTGGGGAGAGTGAGGCCGACTGAGTCCAGACTCCAGAAAGGGAAGGTGTGGGTGCAGTTCTGCTGCCCCAGGGCCACCTTGGGGAGCGCCTCCCTGGTCTCTGCCCAGAGGCCCCCCAAGGCCAGTCCTGAGGCAGACAGTCACCCCGAGTGCCCACCCTCCTACTGCATAGCAGGTCGGCATCAGGCACTCATCTCAGGGGCCAGAGATGTGTCCTGCTTCGTGTGGGCCCTTTTCCCTGACTGGGGCTCAGGCCACTCCAGGTTCCGGCTCCATGGATCTGGAGTGACCCCCGCTTCTGTGCGGGTGCCAGGTGTAGCCCCAGGCCGAGGGATCTGGAGTGACGTGGCACGGAGCCCTTGGGTGGCCCTTGCGTATGAGCCTGTGTGGACACCCAGCCGTTTCCCCTGGCCCTCAGGATCCTGCACAACTACCTGGTGTGGCGCGTAGTGGTGGTCCTGAGTGAGCACCTGTCACCACCGTTCCGAGAGGCGCTGCACGAGCTGGCACGGGAGATGGAGGGCAGTGACAAGCCACAGGAGCTGGCCCGTGTCTGCCTGGGCCAGGCCAACCGGCACTTTGGCATGGCACTTGGAGCTCTCTTTGTACATGAGCACTTCTCAGCTGCCAGCAAGGCCAAGGTCAGGCTGCCCTGGGCTTGGGGGTTGGGTGTGGGTGCAGGTGCTGGGCAGGGCGTAGAGTCCTCCCATGGCCTTGCTCTGAGAATGGGGAGCCCACATATTCCCTTGCAGATAGGGGCGCTCTGAAGCTCCAGACTTCTCGCCAGGCCACCTCCCCCAGGAAGCCTACCTTATCTATCAGCCACAGGAGGGCTGGCCCCTCAGGCTCCTGCCCCCCTTTCTCTGCCATGCTCGGTAGACTGTTGCTGGGGCAGTTTGTGCTTCCAGACTGTGAGCTTTTTGTAAGGGGGGCCAGGCCTGGATCCCCACCTCCAAGGTCCCGCTTGGCGCTCAGGACCAAGCCTTAGGCCTGGGAAGTGGTACTGAATCAGTGGTATCCCTCGTGCCAGGTGTTGGGGGCCCAGAGTTAAGGCCTCCTGGGTTGACCCTTGATCCCTGACCCCTGGCCCTATAGGTGCAGCAGCTTGTGGAAGACATCAAGTACATCTTGGGCCGGCGCCTGGAGGAGTTGGACTGGATGGATGCTGAGACCAAGGCAGCTGCTCGGGCCAAGGTGAAGTGGACCCTTTCCCATCTGTAGATTCCACGAACACTTATAGAGTGCCTACTGCATGCCAGGCTGGAGTGAGACAAGAGGCAGAGATGCCCCTTGTGGAGCTGGCATCACTGGTCTGGTCTCGCCTGTCCTTGAGCCCTGCCTCTAGACTACAGCCTCTCCCTTGGGGGGTGGGGGGCTGTCTCCCGAGGCCCTGGCTGCCCTCTCGCCCGCAGCTCCAGTACATGATGGTGATGGTAGGCTACCCCGACTTCCTGCTCAAACCCGAGGCTGTGGACAAGGAGTACGAGGTGGGTCTGCCTCTGGCCCCACCCTGCCTAGCCAGCTGGGCTTCTCCCGGCCTGTGGCCAAGACCCCCAGGGAGGCCCGCCACGACCGAAGAGAAGGAACCATGACCCTCGGCTGATGGCCCCTGGGGGGACGTGGGGCCCGCCCAGCGCTGGTCTGGCCATGCCCGTCGCCTGCCACTGAGCGCTGCCCATCCCCTGTGCAGTTTGAGGTCCACGAGAAGACCTACTTCAAGAACATCTTGAACAGCATCCGCTTCAGCATCCAGCTCTCAGTCAAGAAGATCCGGCAGGAGGTGGACAAATCCACGTGGGTGCCTGGCCCAGAGCTGGGGGGAGTCAGGGAGGGAGGTTCCATGGGGTTAGCCAAGGCCAGGAGGCTGGGAGCGGGTGGGTGGGGGTGGGGGGGGCAAACCGCCTCAAAATCATGCTGGTGCAGAGGTCATGGGGCCCGGGCGGGTGGTGGTGGGGGCCGTGAGGGTGGAGGCTCAGCCTGGAGGAGGCGCGGGGCGTGGCCACAGGCTGGGTCACTAGGGTAGCTTTTAAGGAGGAGGGGGCTGGGAGGTGGGGGGGGAGCGTGGGTCTCCCTAGCTGACCCCCACCTCCCTCCACAGGTGGCTGCTCCCACCACAGGCCCTCAATGCCTACTATCTACCCAACAAGAACCAGATGGGTAAGGGGGCGTGCCCCGCGAGGGGCGGGGCCTGGAGGCGGGGCCAGTCTCCTGCTGACTACGCCCTCTCTGTAGTGTTCCCGGCAGGTATTCTGCAGCCCACGCTCTATGACCCTGACTTTCCACAGTGAGTACCCAACCAAGCATGAGCCAGAGCCAGCTCTGCAGCCCTGTCTGCTGGGTGCATGAAAGCTGCCGGGACTGTCCCGATCCGGGCTGGGCCCAGGGGTCATGACAGTGGCAGATCCTGGGTCCCCATAGTCTTACCTCATCCTTGGTTATTTAGAAAAATGTGTAGGTTTTTTTTCTTTCTTTCTTTCTTTTAAATGTCCTGAGTTCCCCCTTACCTGGTTTGAGGCTGCTTTAGGGGTTTCAAAAGTGGCTTAGTGATGAGGAAACAGGCCAAATCCAAGGTGGGGTGCCTCAGTTTCCCTCATGTCTTCCTCCAACCTGGTCTCTTCCCCTGTCCCAGCTCTGTTAGAGGTTATTTCCTACAGAGCAGCTGCAAAGGTATCGTTGGCACCTTTTACATGTTGTATGAGGACTCTAAGGCACGAGTGCCCCAAGACCGTGGGGACACCACTGTGGCCTCCCTAGGCCACCTCTGGCTTGACCGGGGCCTTCCAGGGCCCAGGCAGCAGCGTGGAGCTCTCGGAGGGCGGGTGAGGCTGGGGCCTGACGCTGCTGCCGTGGGCCCAGGTCTTTGAACTACGGGGGCATCGGCACCATCATTGGACATGAGCTGACCCACGGCTATGACGACTGGGGTGAGGCCCGAGGGTGGCCAGAGGGGGTGTCGGGGGAAGGGAAAGGCAGACAGCGGGGGGCAAGGCGATGCTGGGTGGATTGAGACCCCACAGCCCCTCTGTCCCCATTGGCCGGTGGGTGGGTGGGAGAGGGGGCTTCGGGCATGAGAGTCCGTCTCCACCACTCTGCCTGCTGCCCACAGGGGGCCAGTATGATCGCTCAGGCAACCTGCTGCACTGGTGGACGGAGGCCTCCTACAGCCGCTTCTTGCGCAAGGCGGAGTGCATCGTGCACCTGTATGACAACTTCACCGTCTACAACCAGCGCGTAAGATGCCCTTGCTGCCCCTCAGGCCCGGCTGGGCGTGGACGAGGAGCATGCGTGCCCACGTGTTCACACATGTGCCCAGGGCCCAGCTCACATGCCCAGGGTGTGCATGCGCACTCACGTGGGTGCGTGGAGGAGTTCACGCAGACTCATATGGGGCACGAAGGGGTCGGGGCCGCATCTAAATCCTCTGGGAAAGGGAAGGGGAGTGTGGGCGGGGGCCCAGGGTGGCAAGGCCTGAGGAAGGCCAGTGGGTGGCAGACAGACCCCGGCCCCTTCCCTTCTCGGCAGGTGAATGGGAAGCACACACTTGGTGAGAACATCGCGGACATGGGCGGCCTCAAGCTGGCCTATTATGTGAGCTGCCCCCGCCTGGCCCTTCGTTCCTGTGGGGGGAAGGATGGGGGCTGATGAGGACTCCACGAGGGACGTGGCACCCCAGCCTCCCCATCACATGGCGCTTTGGCCTGGGGGAGCGGGGCCTGTGACTGGCACAGGGTCCCCTGGAAAAGGAGGGACTCCCAGGCTGCTTTGGGGAGAGCAAGGAGGACTGCCTGGGGTTAGCCTTCCCAGGAGGGAGCACAGCTCAGGAAAGGCGGAAGGCAGGGAGCCTGGGGCTCGGCATGGCGGGTGGTGTGCAGAACAGGGGCCGGTGAGGGGCTGACTGGGTGGAGGGTGAGTCAGGTCACCGCACTGGGGGCACCGCAGCTCCACACTGTCACCCCCAGGCCTATCAGAAGTGGGTGCGGGAGCACGGCCCGGAGCACCCGCTGCACCGGCTCAAGTACACGCACAACCAGCTCTTCTTCATTGCCTTTGCCCAGGTGGGCCAGGTGGGGGCCAGGTGGGGGGTGGGCAGGGGTGGGGACATAGCTCTCGGCCTGCCTCTCATCAGCCACCCTCAGAGGCAATGGTCCCATGGGTTCTGAGGAGGGCTCAAGGCCTAGTGTGCTGGGGGGGGGGAGGTTTGCCAGGCTTGCTCAATGGACTCCTTGGCTTCAATTTCCCCTCTCTTCCCCTCCCCTCCCCGCCATGGGGCCCAGAACTGGTGCATCAAGCGGCGGTCACAGTCCATCTACCTGCAGGTGCTGACCGACAAGCACGCACCTGAGCACTACAGGTGGGCCTGCCTGCCTGGGCCTCATCCCCTTGTGTCTGGGGTGGGAGCAGGTGGGGATGGGGAGGGGCAGCTGGGGGGTAGTGGCCGTTGGAACCCACACCTGCTGGGTCTCTCCTCCTGCCTGCCCCAGGGTGCTGGGCAGCGTGTCCCAGTTCGAGGAGTTTGGCCGGGCCTTCCATTGCCCCAAGGACTCACCCATGAACCCTGCCCACAAGTGCTCTGTGTGGTGAGCCTGGCCATCGGCCCTCACGCCCTCGCCACCCGCCCTGCACGAATTGCCTCCCTGCCAGCTGCCGGGGCAGGCATGGACCCGGCACTGGTCTGCTCTGGGTGCCACCCACCTTAAGGCCTCCAGGACCTGGCCTTCTTGCTATCCCTCACTTCCGGAGGGGCCCGGAGCAGGGATGGGGCTGGGCTCCAGGAGGCCGTGGGGGTGAGATGCTGGGGTCCCCAGTCTTGGCTCTAAGGAGCCAGACCCCCTGGCCAGGGTGGATTGTACAGGCCCCACCTTCAATCTGTTCTTGCTGCTAAGTCTGGTCAATAAACTGCTGTACCGTTGTCTTGGTTTCTTCAGGGGCCTCCGGAGCAGGTTGGGCTGAAGGGGTCCCTTTGTGGGGAAGCTCAGGCCCTCAGCACCGCGGGGACTCTAGAGAAGAACTTCTCGTCCCTTCCTATCCCCCCTCCCTGGCTCTTCTGTCTTTCCCACCAACCACCTGCTCCTCCCTCCCCCAGAGTCCCGCCTAGGCTCCTGTCCAGCTCCAGACCAGGCTCGTGGGGGCCAGAACACCAAGCCCGCTGGTCTGTGCTCCAGCATGACACTGGGACTCACTTCCCCTCAAAGTGTAGATATCACAGGCCAGGCCTTGGGCTCAGTGTGTCCAAGAGAGGGGAGCTATGAGACACGCTTACATGGAGGTCGGGGCCACTCTGTACAACACTGAGTCGTGCTCTCCGGTCTGGAGTGGACGCTCCAGGGATGAGAGAAAGAGAAGAGCTGTCAGGGGCTGGCCTGCGACATGGCCGTGAGGCTCTAGGCCCCGCCCATGGTGGGAGGGGGCGGAGGGAGGGCTGCCCCATCACGCACAGGATGGTGGGGTGCGGGGAGAATGTCACATGGGGCAGCCCCACTGGGGGATCCAGGTGTCTGCAGTGAGTGGGGGACCGTGGGCCTCCTGCCTTTCCTCCTCTGTCTGTTTCTCTCACTTTGGGACAGCCTAGAGGGGGCGCCCCTCCCTGGCTGTGCCCGGCGTGGCCTATCCCCATCTCCCACCGCAGTGGAGAATCTCTTGCCAGCCCAGCTCCTGTCATGCTCAGAGAACAGCCATCCCCATCTCAGCCTTGAGTGACATTTAAAAAGTTCCTGTTATCTGAGCCTCGGGCACACCACCCTTGGGGAATGAGAGACAGAAAACGCACGTGCCACAGCTGACGGAGGCAGAGTAGAAGGGTGGGCGTTGTGTGGCCCTGGGGAGGGCTCTGAGGAGAAGTGGCAGGAACTTAGAAGGACCCCATAGGAAGAGCCAAGTTCCCCCAAGGGGCAGGGACTCTTCAGGAGATGAGCAGGGCAGAGCACCCTTCGAAGGTGGAGGTGGGGTGTGCAGGGAGTAGGGGTCGGGTAGAGGAGCCGTGATTATGGACCTACCTCCAAATCCCCTCCAAGCCCCTCGCCCCCTGGGCTGGGCATGTGTATACCATATCCCTCAGCAGCTGGCACGCTGCAATGTGCCTCTGGTGGCTGGCACAGCCAGCCAGTTCTCTCCTTGCCACCCACTTGGGTGGGGCCTGGGGTCTGGGACCCTCCACACCCCGTGACCAGCCCATCCATCTGACCTGGGATCCTGGCTGAAATCGGAGTCCCCAGGCCCAGCGCTTTTGCCCCCTGTGCCCCGGTGGCTCTTTAGTTCCCCACCTCCACCCAAGACCAAGCCTTCCTGTCTCCCATGCAGCTCAGGGGAGGTCTGGGGTGGACAGAGCCTAGGGGGTGAGACCTCCCCATTCTGTCTGTGCCCTGCTGAGGGAGCCAGAGGGACTTGGGCGTGGCGGGGGCAGGGGGCAGGGCGGGGATGGTGGGCCCCCGGGGGAAGACGAGTTTCCTGGCCTGGAGGCTGGTCCAGCGGGAAGCCTGTGGGACTTGGCTGCTGGCCGGGGGCCTCAAACCCAGTGTGCATTCCAGCCAGGGCGCGCCTACCCTGCGGGCGGGACCGTGGGTCGCCAGGCTGTGAAGCTCCTTGCTGGGCTACCTGCGGAGAAGTCGCTGCTACCTGGGGCTTCGGGGCTTCACAGCCCTTCAGGGAGAACTGAGGGAGATCGTCAGGTCAGAGGGGGCTCGAGCCACGGGCACCCCAAGGACAGAGTCCTGGTGCTTGGACGGGGCCCATGAACTCCAGACACAGCCACGAAACCCAGGGCCACGGTGTGGCCCAGCCTGGCACAAACGTGACACTGTGTGTCACCCGCTGCTTCCCAAACTGCTTCTCCAGACGCACCCTAAGAGCATCCTCACTGCAGCCCACTGAGGTGCCAGGGTGACAGGGACAGGGAAACCGAGGGGAGCCACGGGCCCTGCCTAAGGTCACGCCGCACACGTTAGCTGATGGGCGCCACTCAACTGCCGCGTCCTCTTTTTTTTTTTTTTAAATTTTTTTTTTTTTCAACATTTATTTTTGGGACAGAGAGACAGCATGAACGGGGGAGGGGCAGAGAGAGAGGGAGACACAGAATCAGAAACAGGCTCCAGGCTCTGAGCCATCAGCCCAGAGCCTGACACGAGGCTCGAACTCACGGACCGCGAGATCGTGACCTGGCTGAAGTCGGACGCTTAACCGACTGCGCCACCCAGGCGCCCCAGCCGCCGCGTCCTCTTGAGCTCTGGGCGTCCGTCCTATACTCGGTGCCAGCTGTCTGAGCGTCCTGTTAGGGAACCACACACTTGGTGCAGACGCTGGCCAATCGTGGTCTGCCGGCCCCTGTGCCAGCGGCTCCACTGAGGAGGCCGGCAAGGTCAGCACAGCTGCCCACCCAGCCTCAGTTTCCCCGTCTTAAGTGAAGGCCGTGATTGCAGAGAAGGCCCCTTGGGCAGCCATGGGACAGGTTGTGGTAGGGCTGGCCCCAGCCGTCCCCCGGGGGGTGAGGGCGTTCTCTGAGCACTGCTCGCTGGGATGACGGAAAGCAGTCTTCAGCCAAGCAGTTGATAGCAGGGAAAGAGCTCCCAGGCGTCCACCTCGCGCCCGCGTGCAGAGCGCCTCGTGGTTCCTGGTGCGGCTCTGGTTCTGCCATCCGTGGCATTGAGACCTTGAGCCCAGGGGTCACTGCCGGGTGACCTTGGCAAGTGACTCACCCTCTCTGGGTCCCGGGGCCATCACCGGCAGCCCCGGGAGGGTGTGTGTGCCAGGGGCCGGCCTGCCTGCGATGGACTGATGTGAGCCGCCCTGCCCCTCCTCCCCCCCAAACCAAGGCCTGCACGGCTGCTGCCCCAGCAGGCTCGGCCCGACTCCGAGACCTCAGGTCAAGGATGCCAGGAGCACCCTCCGTCTGGGGCTCCCTGGGTGCCAGCTCGGTACAGATCCGGGGAGGACTGGGAGCCAGCTGGAGAGGTGTGCCCGAGCCTCCCTGCCTAGGGTCTCAGAGAGAACGGGGGGGTCGGCAGCCCCGGGATTTCTGTGGCACCCAGGAGGGGGCACAGGGTGCCTGGTGCCACTGACCAGCCATAAGCCCCGGGCCTTTCTAAACAGCTCAGTGGGACCAGATTCAAGTTTCTGCCATTCCTGTGGCTGCTTCTGTGCCGACTCCAGATGCCCGGTGCTCTGGGGGCCCTGGGGCCCCCGCTTGTGAAGTACCCTAGATGTGATATTTTTTTATTTATTTGTAAATGTTTGTTTCTTTTGAGAGAGAGAGAGACCATGAGAAAGAGAGCGAGAGACCATGAGAGAGAGAGAGAGAGCATGAGAGAGAGACCGTGAGAGAGAGAGCACGAGTGGGGGAGGAGCAGAGAGAGAAAGAGACAGAGAATCCCAAACAGGCCCCACGCTGCCAGCGCACAGCCCGACGTGGGGCTTGATCCCACAAACTGCCAGACCGTGTCCTGAGCCGACACCGAGAGTCGGACACTTAACCGACTGAGCCACCCCGACGCCCCTAGATGCAATATTTTTAAATGGCTTGAGCTCCTATGCCAAAAATGTTTGGAAAGCCCAGGGTCTTCCATATGCAAATAGCTCTGGGGGTATGTTCTCAGGGGGATTAGGCCTCTCCTCATGCCTCCTTTCCCACCCCGACGCCCCCCTATGCCGGGCTGCCCCCTATCCCTTCCTTCCCCAGGGACCTCCCACATGAAACTGGGTAGAGTCACAGACTTTACTGAAGGTTTGGGAGGGGGGGCAGAAGGGCCCTCTCTGTGCCTCCTCTCCTTTCTCCCCTTCTGGATGTCTCCGCCCTCCCTCCAAGTGACCTGAGAAACCTACTTCCTCTTGATTGATTAAAAAGAGCATTTTCCCCTTCCCTCTGCTGGCTCCAGGCTGGCCTAGAGGCCCAGCACAGTCTGTAGCCCTGTGACTGTCCCCTCCGGCCACCCAGCAGCAGGACGGGGTGGTGGGGGGAGGGCAGGGCGCACCAGTCCCACTGCCCTACCCCCGCCTCCATCCTGCAGTTTCTGCGCGAGCCTGGACGACCCGAATTTGGACGGCACATCACTGAGCCAAGTCTGTCCGGATCTGAGCAGAGCGTCTCCTGTGCAGCCTTCACCCGGTCACTGGCGTCGCCCGCAAAGCTGCCAGGGATGGGGACCGCCAGATCCCAAGCCCCCTTCCCTTTGGGGAAAACTAGCTGGGCACTGGCCTGGCCTTTCCTGCAGAGTCCTTCTAATGAACTGGACTCCCCCCCCCTCCCCCCCCGTGTCCTGGCAGGGTCCCTGTTCTGGGACTGCTCCGGCCACAGGGCTCCCCTCTTGCCCTCCCTGTCACCCCACGCCGGGCTGGAGGTGCCCAGAGGGCCGCCTGGGCACACGGCTCACCCCCCAGGCCCCAGGCCCTTGGAGCAGCCCGGCATGAGCTCATCAGGTCGGACTCAGCGGCCGCCCGCCTGGGAGCCTCTGGCGGTGGCTCAGGCTGATTCATTGGGCGGCAGGCAGCTCAAGTCCCGGAGCCACTGTCACATGGTGCCGTTAAGCCGCATCTCTCCTTGTCTGTAGTTTGCATAAATAACAAAAAAAATCCCTCCCACCTTCCTGCGGGACCAAAACGTCGCGGGGACTGCTGACGGGGATCTGCATGGGGAGGTCTGAACGTGGCCACTTCTCTCTCACCCGAGGAGCCCAGGGCAGGGAGGGAGGGGCGTGCCGGACGGAACTTGCAACGCTGGTGAGCGAAGAAAGGGCAAGGTCAGGGTGCCTGGGGGCCTGGATGCCTCCCGGTGGAGGGTGGACGGTGGGCGGCCTCACCCTTTGGGAGCCGGGAGGAGGGCGGCCGTCTCCTCTCGGAGGGGCAGCGGAGGAGACACAGTTGGTCCCTAGGCACTGTGCCCAGCACGTTGGCACAGACCGGGCTCCCCCAGCGACAAGGTTACACCAAGGGGAGCTTCGGCTGCCTGTCGTCAGTGCTCTGGCCCGGCGTGTGTGCTGGTAACAAATGCCGAAGTTCTGTTCAGCCGGAGTAAGCAGGCCCTGGGGCCACTTTAGATCAGAGGGTGCAATTTAAAATCCTGCACAGCTTCCTGGAGGCCCCGCCGGGAGGCAGGAATTGGGGGTGTCAGCCTCACAGGGCAACAGCCTGTCATGTAGATGCTGACCAGGTGGGGAGACCTGCTTCTGGAACGGGGGGCGGTGGGGGCTGGCTAACCGCATCAGATGGTAATGTCAGCCTCAAGGGCAGGACGAGGGCGCATCTGGCATCCCGTCTGAGGCCTCCCGAGAGACAGCATGCCTGTTTTTCCCCATCGTGACACATCCCGTATCAGCCCCCTGAGCCGGGTTGGGCCAGGTGCAGGGACAGGGGCTCAAGGGGACTCCATGAGCTGGGGGCCCTGGGTCTAGAGGAGACTGGACCTGTGGTGCCCTCCAGACCCTGTCTGAGCCCCGGAAATGCTGACACACCCACGGCAAAGGGAGCTGTTTAGCCTGAGTCCTATCCGGGGTCCCAGCCTGCCTGGCCCCCCATCTGGATCTCAGGGCATCAGGTTAAAGGGGCACTGAGTCCTCCTGAGTGTCTACGGTATGTTGGGCCCTAATATGCTTTATCTCCTTTGGGGACTTGCCATGACCCTGGGCAGGGGGCGCCCTAAACGGGAGTCCGGATGTTCACATTTAATATCCAGCTCCATGCTGGCACCTTTCCCCCGTCAGCGGGGCGTCCACCCCCGACATGGAAGAGAACGAGGGTGCCCAGTGAGGGACACCCTCTCCCCGTTTGCTCACTTCCAGTGGATGGTGATGTGTGAGAGTTTAGTGTGTCTGCCCAAGTGGATTTAGGGATAATATGATCTAGTTTTAAACAAACGAATCCCCCACAACAATCAAGTAGCTTCCGAAAGAGCCCTGTAAAGACACAGCCAGTAACAACAATAATCCACACGAGGTAAGGGACCGCAGACGCGACCGTCCTCTCTCCTGATAGGTGCTCATCATCACCCACGGTGCACACCTGATGGGAAATCAGCCCCAAATATAAAAACTAAACAAAACCAAACTGTTTGAAACAACTCTGCCCCCGTCGTTACTGGTGAAGCTTTGCCCCAAGCGACTGGTGCCCTGAGACACGACTCAATAGAGCACGAAATCCTTATGGACAAGCAAGGTATCTAAAAACTAAGCTTTCAGAACGTGGAGACAAACCCCCGCAATGCTTTTCCCAGCGACGTTTAAAGTTATGTGCTTTTCAACTCAGTACTTTTTTGATATTTCCCTAAGCAATGATAAATATTTGGAAAGCTCTTTTAAAGTTTCTTGCATAATAGCATGAGACAAAAAACACCTACCACCAGGCAAACACTTATTTTTTTTCTGCCGCAGTAAAAATGGCAGAAACAATGAACAGAAAATGATCTGTCGACAAACCGAAAGGCATTTCTTTGTCAGCAAATACTGTCGGAAGATGTGGAGAAAACACTACCGCAGATTGGAAGGATGTGTTAGCGCAAATTACCCAGTGTGGGAGGTTTACTGTGTGGTTTTTTACACATCTCAGCTTAAGGTATTTGCTTGGGTTCTGTTTCAATAATGAAATACACAAACCACTTTGTGTGTGTGTGTGTGTGTGAGAGAGAGAGAGAGAGAGAGAGAGTCAGGAAAGACAGAGTAGAGAAGATATATGAATGCCTTGTTTCATAAGAACAATTGCACACAGGGAAAACTGTCAGGCACCCGCTGATGGAACAGCTACTGAGAAAGGAATTTTTTAAAGGATTCTGGATGAGGAAAAAGTGTAGAGGGAGCTGTACCTACAACACTCACTGGCCTACCTTGTCAAACCACTGCAGGAAAGAACTAGAAGCCCAAGGGCACAGGAGCCCTCCGTGGTGTTAACTTTAAAAAAATCAAGATTTTCGGGGCACCTGGGTGGCTCAGTCAGTTAAGCCTCTGACTTCAGCTCAGGTCATGATCTCACGGTCCATAGGTTCGAGCCCCTCGTCGGGCTCTGTGCTGACAGCTCAGAGCCCGGAGCCTGCTTCTGATTCTGTATCCCCCTCCCTCACTCATGCTCTGTCTGTCTGTCTCTCTCTCTCTCTCTCTCAAAAATAAATAAATATTTAAAAAAAGTTAAACAAAAACCAAGGTTGTTCTAGTAAAGCAGAATCTTTATGATACTTGGTAATAAAATCAGGTGTGACCAGGAAAGTTTCCAGGCCACGCAAACAATGGGAAAGGGCTGTTGTGAATTACCCCTCTCTTTCCTCCTACCTTTCCCTCCTTCTTAAAGACTGGGGTGCTGACATTTCTTGAGGAGACCAGAGCTATCAGTTTTAGGCACCCAGTAAATTATTGAAAAAACAGATTCACCTTCCCTGGTGAACATCTTCCAGGGAAAGACGTTAAAACAAATGTTTGAAAATGTTTCCATGGACACGTGATTTTGTGGCTAACAATGTGTTTGACCCACAAAACCTACACATTAAAAAAAAAAAAAAAGAACTTGGAAGCTGTTTTTAAAAAATTTAAATGTAATTTACCCACCGTAAAATTCATTCTTTTCAAGTGTATGATTCAGTGGTTTCTAGAATACCCAAAATGGTGCAACAATTACCACTCAATCCAGAATAACCTGTTTTTTAAACCCGTAGAGTTTTAAATTTTTTAATCTTATTTATTTTTTTAAGTAAACTCTACCCCTAACGTGGGGTTTGAACTCTTGACCCTGAAATCAAGAGTCACACGTTCTACTGACCGAGCCAGCCAGGTGCCTCTAAACCTGCAGAGTTTTAAAATGTAGAGTTTCCTTGGGTTTGGAACCCATTTATGAAGTATAAAGACGCAGCACCTCTCCATTGGCTTGTAAAACCAACTAATTGATAACAGGGAAAACAGAAATAGAGCAGCTGGATTTTTATTAAGTCTTTGCCCAATTGGTGGATGGAGTTTAAAGATGAACATGATTGGGGCGCCTGGGTGGCTCAGTCGGTCGAGCGTCCGACATCGGCTCAGGTCATGATCTCGCGGTTCGTGGGTTCGAGCCCCGCGTCGGGCTCTGTGCTGACGGCTCGGAGCCTGGAGCCTGTTTCGGATTCTGTGTCTCCCTCTCTCCCTGTTCCTCCCCTGCTCGAGCTCTGTCTCTCTCTCTCAAAAACAAATAAAGATTAAAAAAAATAAAAAACCATGAATATGATGGTTTAGGGAGCCTAGCTAATGATGCCCTTTTCCCATTCAGCTCCCATATTTTTGTGACAGCCTCTAAAATCCAAAATTGAAATAAACTGCCCTGAGGGCCATGCCTTCAAATTGATGTTTTACAGTGTGAGATCAAGATTTTAGTAAATAAGAATTATAACAATTCAGTGTGATGACAGACGGTAGCTAGACTTACTGTGGTGACCATTTCTTATTGTACATCTATATCTGATCACTGCGTTGTATACCTGAAATGAATACAATTTTGTATGTCAGTTACTCTTCAATTAAGTTTTTTTCATGTTTATTTATTTTTTAGAGAGCGAGCGAGCAAGAGAGTGCACATGTGTACACAAGCAAGGGAAGGGCAGAGAGAAAGGAAGAGAGAATCCCCAGCAGGCTCTGCACTGTCAGCACAGAGCCTGATGGGGGCCTCGAACTCATGAACCGCAAGATCATGACCTGAGCCGAAATCAAGAGTCAAACGTTCAACTGACTGAGCCACCCAGGCGCCCCAAATAAGATTCTTATCCCTGAAATAATCAGAGTGTTATTTTCCAAGAGTCAGGCCACATTATGCCCCTGCTAAAAGCCTTCCAATTTACATACCACACCTTGGATAAAGTTCAAACTCCCCACCCACCTGCTCCCATCTCTTATCCCTCAGGTTTTGCCCCCTACCCCACTCACCCCAACTCTGGTCCAGCTAGTGCTGGAATAGCACTTGCTGATTGCTGCCTCAGGGCCCTTGCACGGCTGTTCCTTCTGCATTGCTCAAGCCTTCACTTCCTTGTCTTGGCTCCACTGTCTGCTCCTCAGGCAGCCAGCCCCTCCCTGACCTACTGATCTGGATTATCCACCACGTCCCCTCACTCACAGACATACTAATGATTTTTCTCTCTAGAACACATCACTATCGGCATTATACTGTATTATAACGGTTTATTTGATTATTGCTTTGTCTCTGTCAGTAGACTAGAGGCCCCCGGGGGGGGGGGCGGG